CAAACAGGCCCACCCCATGGAATGGGGAAAGCACATTTAATTAAACTAAAACAGATCTGAACACCGCAAGAACTGAAAATCAAATATTTGTCAGAAATCACCTAAGATGAAACAGAACCAGATAAGGACAAAAAATATCCCAGTTGTCTGTATATTGACCTTCAACTTTCTCTCTAATTTACCAGGAATAAGCAGGCAGGAGTTAAAAAAAAAAAACAACTTACTGGACCATGTCAGCTACATAGTCTTCCAGATAGCAGCTATTGAATTTCACCAGGTTCACCAGAACCAGGAGGAACTCAGAAGTCAGCCCAACATCCATCCACTGTAGCACAAAATCAGCTAAAGGAGAAAAAAAACCCTGTTACAATACTCCTTCTGCCCAGGAATGACACCACTACCTTTTTCTGTTATCACTGGGTGTTTGTGCCTGGATTTATTCCCCCAGATTGAAGAGGGGCTGGGACAATTCTCACCCAGCTCCTCCTCTAAGTAGGTGATGTAGCGTCCGTTCTCCGTCAGAGCCTTGAACACTTCCAGCCGCTCGTGCAGATCTTCATTGGAGGGATAATCCTTAATCACCTTAAAAAAATGGGCTCTGAGGATCCCCAGCCTCTCACCCTTGAAGTGAAAAAAGGGAAGGGGTTAAGGCCTGGACATTATCAAGGTGTACCTCAGCAATCTTCATGCTTTACATCAGCTTTTTTGTTGAATCAATGCCTATTCTCTTCATCAGCACCCAGCCCTGCTTTCTCAGAACACTGGGAACGACAGCTTTGGGCTGATTCAGCCCCCTGTTTGTGCAACACGTTGGGAAATCTGAAGAATTTGTTGTGTGCTGAACTTGGCCAGGCTGGAAGTGTCTCACACAGAACCCCTTGCATACCTGAGACATCAAAACCAGCTGCAAACTGGGACTAGAAGGTCTGGGCAAAGACCACATAAAATCTGCTGAATTATGCTGAACTTAACCTAAAGTATTTCCTCTTTCTCAAGAGCATTACCCCAAAACAGAACAGCTTTCTATGAGTTGTAGGAAGAGTTTTGCTACGAGGTCAAATCAAAACTTAAAACTAAAACGCTTCCTCTTCTCATTTATGAGACACAACCAAAATGACAAGTATGAACTTTTGCAGGGAAGAGCTCTCTGGTGCTTTTCCCATTTCCCCCTGACAAAACCCAGCTGAGGTGGGTGTCCCCTGCCCCGTGGGGCTGTTGTCACCTGTCCCTGGACGATGGACTTGAGCAGGTGGAGCACGGCGTGCCTGGCCTCGGCGGGACGCTCCGGTTGTAGCATGTCAGCCACCACCTTCCACACGGCCTCCACGGCGTGCTGGCAGCAGGAACAAAAACCAAAACCAAAGCAAAAGCATGAGGCAGGAAAGCTCAGCTCCCTCCAGGATCTCCAGCAGCAGGTCACAATGAATTATGGCAACTCATGACGAAGATCCAGGGGCTCCATGTGCGGAGTTCTCTGTTCTGGGGGACACTCACCCACCTGGTGACACACTCAGATAACCCCAGGAGACACCAAATCCAGCCCTACGCCCCAGGAACTGCAATTCCTCATTCCACACTCACTGCAGGTGGGAATATTTGTGCAGAAACCTTCACCCTGCTACAAGATGAATTCAAAACCAATTGGGGGATGCTTATTAACAAGCCTGGAGATAAGGAAACCTCTCTAAACATCATGAGCTGTCCTGAATACCCCCAATATTCTCCTTCCAGGAAGGTCCAGGAAGCCAAACAGCTCCATCCCCTCTGCTGCAGAGCTGGAAGGTTGGGCAGACTAATTCTCTTTTACAGCACAAATCAGGCTCTGGGATCACCCATTTTAAAAAGCTTTCTAAACAACAGGAGTCCCTTATGATAGTTTGAGAGCTGCTGCTTAAATTTCCATCCTTCCAAGACTCACTGAACACTTTGGAACTCACCTCTTCAATTTTTTTGGTTTTTGCCACTTCACAAATTTGACCGATTGCTCGTATCCTGTTACTCAATCCACACTCTATGCTTAGTTCCTGGAAAGAAATGGAGAAATAAGCTAACAGTTTATCTTACCAGAAACACTTATCCATTTCTCCAAGGGCAGAAGGAATTCTGGTCTCCTTCTCCCTTTTTTTTTTTTTTTTTTTTATTTTCTTCCTTGTGTGCCAACTATTCTGCTTACAGACTTGTGGTACCAATTACTGGAGTCAATTATTTTACTTTTCATTTCCACAGAACCATAAGGCTTTCATAAAACAAAAACAGTTCCCAGCTTGTGGAAACTGCCACCACAGAAACTTCATCAAGCTCAGACCATAAAAAATCAAGGGGACAGGGAAATTGCCTGTAACCCAACATAACAAATATCTCCAAAATATTCAAAGAGTGAATAACTCAAATGCTGGAGCTGCAAACTAGGTGAGTTCTACATCCAGTTCAACAGAGAATGAGTTGAGAGATCAGGAGAGGGAATGATGGAGAGGAACTGAGGAACCTAGGAAAGGAGCAAGCTCTCCTGATCCTCTCAGCTGAGGTGCCCCAGGCACTGCCCCCACCCTCACTCCACTCAGTTCTCACACCTTGAGTATTTCTGCAGTGATGATAAACTCTGTCTGCTTGCCCTCCGATGACTTGGAACTCCCCCGGGATGTTCCCAGCCCCAGGAGGTTCCTGAACTTCTCCTTCAGCCCGGAATCCTTGCTCTGAGGCTTTGCCATTGCTGCCAAGCGCCGAGGCCCTGCAATCACAGAACAGGGAAGGGAGGCCCAAGGGGAATATTTCAGCAGGAAAACCTCAATAACAGCATCACAGCAGGGCTTCTCCAAAGAGCCTGGGTGTCTTGAGCCTTTTCAAACATGGGAGAAGCCCAACACTGAGGAAACACAAGGAGCTTGTGCTGCTCCTGCCTTCAGCACCCGCATCCCACGGCTCCGCATGGAACACGGGGCCTTTGGGATGCCCTTTCCTGGGAGCTGTGAGTGCCCAGCCCACCACACAGGCTGATTCTTGCCGTATGCCCACGTGCACACAGTTTTTGGAGGGTGTGAGCTGGATACTTGTTCCCAAAGCAAAGGCCAAGCACACCATCCATGTGGAAGTGAGGAAGGACTTACAGATCTGAATGTTGGAACACCCAATAGCTGCCATGGCAAGAGAAAGGTGGGACAAGAACAGGGATGGCCATTGCCACAACAACCTCCAGAAAGTGCCTCCCCCTGTCCCCTGGGGAGCCTTGCCAAGGGCACACGACCCTGCAGAACCCCAGAGCCCCCCTCTATCCCCACGGACATCCCACGGCCTTCCACAGCCTGGGCACAGCAATCCCTGCTGCTCCTGGGGATGCACCACACAGCGTGTCCCTGCACCTGGGGGACACGCCATGGCCCTGGATCCTGGCTCAGTGTCACCAGGGGACACGCCATGGGCTCCTACTCAGTGTCACCAGGGGACACGCCATGGACCCCAGCCCAGTGTCACCAGGGGACACGCCATGGGCTCCAGCCCAGTGTCACCAGGGGACACGCCATGGACCCCAGCCCAATGTCACCAAGGGACACGCCATGGACCCCAGCCCAGTGTCACCAGGGGACACGCCATGGGCCCCAGCCCAGTGTCACCAGGGGACACGCCATGGGCCCCAGCCCAGTGTCACCAGGGGACACGCCATGGACCCCAGCCCACCATCCCTGGGGACACAGCCAGCCCCCAGCCCTCTGTCCCCAGGGACACTCAGNCAGCCCAGTGTCACCAGGGGACACGCCATGGACCCCAGCCCACCATCCCTGGGGACACAGCCAGCCCCCAGCCCTCTGTCCCCAGGGACACTCAGAGTGCACCGCCCTGGGGACTCCCAGAGCCCTAACCCACCCTGGGCAATGGCACATTGTCCCCCGCGACCCCCAGACAAGCCGGGACATGTCACATCCCAGCATATAACCGGGACACGGCACATCCCACCCACAAACCGGGACGTGCCAGAACCTCTTAGGGACACACAACGAGGGTCACACCCCAGATCCCAATAAACACAATGGGGGTCACACAGTAGACCCCGGACACAACGGGGGTCACATCCCAGAGCCCCCGAACACAACCGGGGTTGCATCCCCTGAACACAACAGGGGTCACACCGCAGACCCCAATAAACACAACGGGGGTCACATCCCAGACCCCAATAAACACAACGGGGGTCACATCCCAGACCCCAATAAACACAACAGGGGTCACATCCCAGACCCCAATAAACACAACGGGGGTGACATGCCAGAACCCCAAAAAACACAACGGGGGTCACACCGCAGACCCCAATAAACACAACGGGGGTCACACCGCAGACCCCAAAAAACACAACGGGGGTCACCCCGCAGACCCCAATAAACGCAATGGGGGTCACACCGCAGACCCCAATAAACACAACGGGGGTCACATCCCAGAACCCCAAAAAACACAACGGGGGTCACCCAGCAGACCCCAATAAACGCAACGGGGGTCACATCCCAGACCCCAATAAACACAACAGGGGTCACACCGCAGACCCCAATAAACACAACGGGAGTCACATCCCAGAACACCGACCACAACGGAGGTCACACCACAGTCCCCGGACACAACCGGGGTCATACCCCAGACCCCAATAAACACAACGGGGGTCACACCCCAGACCCCCGGACACAACCGGGGTTGCACCCCAGTAAACACAACGGGGGTCACACTGCAGCCCCCGGACACAACGGGGGTCACCCTGCAGACCCCAGTAAACACAACCGGGGTCACCCCGCAGCCCCGGACACAAGGCGGGGACACGGCGGGGTCTCAGCGCGCCCCCGCCCCGCCGCCGCTGCCCCGTCACTCACCCCGAGCCCGGCCCGGCCCGGCCCGGTGCCGCCGCCCGGCCCGCTCCGCTCGGGCCCGGTGCCCGGTGCCCGGTGCCCGGTGCCGGGAGCCCGGCCCGGTGCCGGCCCCGCCCCGCGCTCGCCCCGCCCGTTCCGGCGGCCCCGGTGCGCCCCGGGCCCGGTAGTTCCCGGCGCCGCCATGAGCGCGGCCCGGCCCGGGCTGAGGCGGCTGCGATCGGCCGCGGGCAGCGGGGGTACGGCGGGGAGGGGAACGGGACGGGGATGGGGAACGGGACGGGATGGGGAACGGGCAGGGATGGGGAACGGGACAGGGGAATTGGGGTACGGGACGGGATGGGGAACGGGA